TGGGCTGTGTTTGGGAGGATGGAGGTGGCCCTGCAGGGACAGGGACAGCCCCTGGGGCTGCTCCTGGGTCCCTCAGCCATTGCAGAGCACTCGGTGCCACTGCTGGGCTCTCACCATTCCCCTGCTCCAGCGTTAATTACAGCCCCACATCTACAGTTGTTTTCTGTGGCACGAGGTGCTTTGCAGGGATGTTCCACCCCTGCATTTTCTCTTTCCTTTGGCTGAAGAGCCCCTTGGCTGTGTCCCCTCTGGCAGTGCCCGTGTGCCCTGCAGGGCTCTGCTGTCCCTGTGGCCTCAGCAGTGGCTGGTCACACAGATGTCACCACGCTGGGGTTTTTCTCCTAAAACCTCGATTTGTCAGCCAGAGCTGAGCCTTGTCCTCCCCCAGCCCTGCTCTGCAGTTCTCCTGGCTCCCCAGGATCCTGTGCCTGCTCCCCTGGGAGCTCCCTGCTCCGGGCTCATCCCACATCTCTATGTACATATATAAATTACAATTCCTTTCGTTCTCCTTCAGCTCTGCCTGCATGCTCAGCACTTGCCCTTCCCAGGGAATAATTCAACTCCAAACTCCCAAGAAAAGCATGAGGGAGGCATGGGGTGAGGGAAAGGCACAAGGAGGGCTGGGGATTTTCCATGTCATGCTCGATCCTCACTGCTGCCCTGTGCTGGGGGAGGTTTGGGCTGGGCACTGCTGGTTTAAGGCAGGGTTCTGTGCAGCACCCACTTCCCCGGAGCAAGGGAAGGTGAAATCAAACACCCTGTGACCATGTTCACAGGGGTCTGAGGATGAGAGAAGAGATGAGGATCTGACTCCATGTTTCAGAAGGCTGATTTATTATTTTATGATATATATTACATTAAAAACTATACTAAAATAATAGAAGAAAGAATTTCATCAGAAGGCTAGCTAAGACTAGAAAAGAAAGACTGATAACAAAGGCTTGTGGCTTGGCTCTCTGTCTGAGCCAGCTGGGCTGTGATTGGCCATTAATTAGAAACAACCACATGAGACCAATCCCAGATGCACCTGTTGCATTCCACAGCAGCAGATAATCAATGTTTACAGTTTGTTCCTGAGGCCTCTCAGCTTCTCAGGAGGAAAAATCCTAAGGAAAGGATTTTTCAGAAAATATCATGGCTACATACCTGGGGCAAAACCCTGAGCTCATCCCTGGGAAAGCACACCCAGTGGGCATGGAGGGCCTGGTGTGGGTGAGGATGAGGAAGGAGCAGCAGGGCTGGCATTGTCCCGGGCAGGGGGGGTGACCCTGTGGCTGTGCCATCCTGGGGATCCTGTCAGCAGTGAGGTGCCACCCTGGGCTGGGCTCACAGCTCCTCACCAGCATTTTCCCTGCCTCTGCTGGGCTTGGCACAGCTCCCTGCAGGGCTCCTGCCCAGCCTGCCAGGATCCCTCGGGGCGAGGAAAAGCCTAATGCAGGGAGATGCCAGCCCTGCTGGGTGCCCCGGGGCGTTTTCAGCGTGTGCCAGGCTGCAGGCTGTGTTTGCTGTGACTCAGAGCTGGCTCTGTTCACCAGGCTGTGCTGTGGGGACCTGCTGCCAGCCCGGGCTGCTGGGCTGGGCAGGGAAATGGCACCCTGGGGTGCTGCTGGGCTGGGCAGGGAAATGGCACCCTTGGGTGCTGCCAGCACAGTGAGGCGTGGCTAGACCCGGCCTGTGGAGTGGGGCCCAGCTAAACCCAGCCTGCGGAGCGGGACCCTGTTAGACCCGGCCTGCAAAGGGGGCCCAGTTAAAGCTGGCCTGTGGAATGGGGCCCGGTTAAACCCGGCCTGCAGAGCGAGGCTCTTGTCTGGCTGAGGTCCCCTCGTCCTTGGCTGTCCCCTGGTCAGTGCCAGGCACCAGCACAGCCACTGTGCTCACCTGTCCCAAGGCTGCTCCGTGGAGAAGGAGGCTGGAATGGTTTGAAGTGAAGTTAAAATGCATCATAGAGCTACAAACAGCAGAAGGACATGGGTGTCCCTTCTCTCCCCAGACTAAACCAGTGCCTGTGGCTCTGTGGGCTGAGCTGGCTGCAGCTGTCCTGCCCTGGAGGTTTTGGTGGCCTCAGGAGCTTTGTACAGCTGTGGGCACCGAGAGGGGCTGTGCCATGCTCTGCCCCAAACCCTCTCCTTGCTGCCCTTCCCCTGCCCCATCCCACTGTGAGGCCTCTGCAGGGCCAGGCCTGGCTCAGCTGGAGCCCAGCTTTGGGCACACAGCAGTGGGATGCTGCTTGGCTTTGGGCTCTGGCTTTAAAAGAACTCCAAGCTAAGGGGCTGAGCACCTCCAGGCCTGGCTTGTGGTGCAGGTTTGGGGTTAAGGCAAGGAAAAGGAGGCAGTTCCAGACTGGGAGGTGGGAGCTGTGTACAGGGAACCAGCACAGATAAACCCCATTGTGTTCTCTGTGTGCTGGGCAGTGATGTGTGGCAGCAGAGCCATCACAAAGCACAGGGGGCTCTTGGCAGCAGCAGCACGGTGGCTGTGCTAATGGAAAGCAGGAGAGGATGGATCAGAGCTGACTTTCAATCAGCTGCTTTGGCCAGGCAAGCTGATCCTCAGAGAGCAGAGGCTCCTGCTTTGTCCTCTAATAGCTGCTCTCACACAGAGAGGAATTCCTTCCCAATATCCCACTGACCCCCTGGCAGTGAAAGCCATTCCCCCTTCTCCAGCTCTCCTGGAGCCCCTCCAGCCCAGCAGCTCCAGGTGAGCACCCTGAGCTCTGTGGCAAAGCACCCAGAGTTTCCCAGGAGGATGCTCAGCTGTGCACAGCCACAGCAGATGCTCCTGATGGGCTGGGATTTGTTCCCATCCCCATTCCCAACCCTGCTCCCAGCACAGCACCCTCAGGGAGCTGTGGGGCTGCTGCCAGTTCAGCTGCAGGCACGGAGCTGCCTCATTGTCCCCGAGCCCAGAATTAGTGCAAGGCAAGCACAAAGAGCTTTTACTGCCCCGTTACTTGGAGACAGCCCATTGATTGTACTTGGCAATTGAGCAGCTTCAGGCACGTGTCTGTCTGTCTGTGTGTCTGTCTGTCTGCTCCATCTCCATCTGCACCCTCCTGGCTGCTGCAGAATGGCTGTAAATGGAGATATGTGAGTGTTTGCTTGGTGGGTTTGTGTGGGTTTGTTTGGTTTGAGAGGCAGAGGAGAAGCAGGGCTTGAATGACAAATTCCTGCCCTGCAGGAGGAGCCAGGGCTGGGCTCGGTGAGCTCTTACACAGCCCCAGGGCTGTGCTGGGGCCAGTTCCCCCCAGTGTGACCAGTTCCCACCAGTGGGGCCTCTCTGCACACCTGGGGGTGTCTCCACGCTGCCCCATGGGCTCAGCAATCCCCCTGCCCAGCACCTCCCACTCCCTCTGCAGAGGGATCAGGCCCTGCAGGGATTTGGCATTTCCAGCGTTGATTTCCCAAATATCCGTGTCAGGTGTGTGCTAAGCAAATGGCAGCGCTCTGGAAAGCCAAACACAGCATTTCTGCTTGGATTTGTTGGCTGAGCAGGCTCCTCACAGAGCTGGGTGTCGCTCCCTGGAGCAATCCTGGTGTGTTTTACCCCAAAAGCTGCCTGGAGTGGGGAGGGAGCAGCCCTGGAGTGGTGGCACAGGGAGCCCTGGGGAAGGACAGGGCCATCACTGGGGTCTGGGCTGAGATCCCACTGCTGGGGTGGTGAATCCTATAAATGCAGGGAAACACCCCAGAGATGCACTCACACTGTGTGTCCATCCAAATACACATATAATATAGGGATATATAAAAGGATGTATGGAGAGGATCTATATTTGCACATAGATACTGAGAATATCTCTGTGTGTAGACATAAAAGGGTTGTGTATAAAGGGTGTGCCCATGGATACATAGATTTAAAGGGTATTTGTGGGCATTTCCATAAAAGGTTTCCCATAAATGATATGTATATGCATAGAGATAAAGGGCATATGTGCAAAGGGGGTAATAAAATATATATCTATGCGCAAATATATATAAAGGGTGCATTTGTAGATGTGTATTTATATTTATGTGGAGAGAGGAGCTCATGGCTGAGCTGTGCCCACAGACTTTGAACAGCAAATATCAGGTTGGTGAGAAATAGGATTAAAAACCTTTAAAACCTGCAACATAATTGGAAGCTGTGAGGGAATGAGCAGCAGCACTTGGCTCCAAAGGGTGTTTTGGGGGGGGTGGGCTGTGTCAGAAGTATTGCAGAAATCTCCATCCCATGGGTCTGGGATTCCTGCCCTCAGGGCAGCTCTGGGGCTTTGCCTTTCAACCTCCCAAGGGTTCTGCTGGGGAGGATGGGGAGGATTTGTGCTGCTGCTGGGCAGGCTCCAGCTGTGTTTGCACTCAAAAGATGGAAGAAAAAAAAAAGTAAAAGGGAAGAAAAGGAAGGAAAACTAGAAAAGGAATAAAGAAGAAAAAATAGAACACACAGACAAAAAAGAGGTCAGTGCCTGCCCTAGCTGTGCTGTGAGCCTGGGGGCTCGTGGGGCTGGAGATGCAGCTGCAGCTTTTCAAACAGACCTGCAGGTCAGGTTCCTGTGTGTCCCAGCAGCCCAAATCCCCATCAGCAGCACTCAGCTTTGGGTGCAGCAGTGCATTAAGGGGTCCTGAGGGCTGGGAGGGTGGGCAGTCCTGTGCCCCCAGGACGCTCTTCAGGGAAATAGTGCTGTAGGAGTGAAAACCTGAAACAGCCAGGAAATCCAGCGTGGAAAATGGGATGGGCTGGGAGCACAGGTCAGGCACACCAGCCTGGGTGTGCTGTCCAAGGGCTGGAGGTGTTTGGGTTTATTGCCAGCCCTGAGCACTCAGGGAGGAGGAGGAGGAGGATGGCAGCACACCCACCCCTCCCTAGCTGGCTGCCCACCATGGGATCTCTGCCCCTTTAGGATGAAAACCCAGCATTTGGGCAAAAGCTGTGTCTTGTCCCCTCCAGCTGCTGGCTCCCCCTGGGGTTATGCTGTGTGTCCCTCAAGGGCTGAACTGCAGTCTCTAATTATTTTCTTTTCTTTCCAGAAACCTTGGCAAGTCCGGGCTGAGAGTGTCGTGCCTGGGGTTGGGTGAGTACCTCTGGCCTCTGTGCCCAGCCCTCTGGGGAGCTGTGGGAGGGTTTGTGCTGGAAAACCCTCTGGTGTGCCCAGTCCTGGGGAGGAGCAGCCTGCAGGATCCCAGGGAGTGTCCCCAGGGCCAGCCTGGGCTGGGGCAGAGCTCTGGCCCATCCCATGAATCCCATCCCCTCCCCTGTGTGCCCAGTTTTCCCCTGGCTCCAAAGCCCCCAATTCCACACCAATGCTTTATCTTTGTGTGCTGTTTCCTGGGGAAGGGCTCTGCTCAGCTCCTGCTGCCTTTACTCAGAGCAACGCTCTGAAGTGCAGCCCCTGGACACAGACTGAGCTGTGGGATGGACAGCCAGCCCTGCAGGGAGCAGGAGGAGGAGGAGGGTGAGCTGTGCTGTGAGCTCCTGCTGCAGTGCCGGCGGCTGAGTGTGAATTTATCAAATTGTGGAGTTGGATGGCACGCTTTGCTTTGTTGCTCTGTAGACAGAGCAGGTGGCGGGAAATCAGGTTAAAATCAGTGTGCAGTGGCTGGAGTGGGTGCAGAGCAGGAGGAGACCTTGCCCCTGGAGCCCTGGGTTCAGAGCAGCCCCAGGGCCAGGCTCAGCCTCAGATTGATCAATGCCTCAGGTCTGGGGGGTTTAGCAATGCTCCATCAGCACCACAATAGCAGGGCTTAATCAGTTGACTAATTTAACATTTATAAAGTGACTCAATAGGATTTGCTATAAGCACAACAGGCGCTTAATTATGAATCTAAGCTAATTACGAATCTAAGATGGCAAGGTTCATTCTACACTTACTCAGAGTATTTAAATCAATTGATGTACCCACAGATCCAAGGAGTCTGCAGCAGGCTTTAAATCTGTGAAACACTTCAGGGAAACACTGCTGTCTGTAGCCTCACAACCTATGGCATGCTTGGCTTTAATCATCAGGAAATTTCCATCCTGGGTGCAATTTGGCTTGCTACTTAATGGAATTTTCTTTGAGGAGTCCAGTTATAATAACAATATTATTATTTAACAATTGTGGTTTTGTTATTTTTATTAGGTCAGAGCAACCTGGTCTACTGGGCAGTGTCCCTGCCCAGCAGAGGGGTGGAATGGGATGAGCTTGAAGGTTCTTAAAACCTTAAAAAAAAAAAAAAAACCAAAAAAAACAAAAAACAAACCCATTCCATGATTCTGTGATTATTCTGCTCGGGCTGTTCAGACAGAAAAGTAAGGCTTTGGGGCTGTTTGTTGGAAACCAGGAGCTTGGCGAGCACAAGCTGTGTTTGGGATAAATTCCAGGGGTCACCTGCCCAGGTGGGCATTGCCAGGGTGAGAGGTGTTGCTGCCTTGGGGGCTGTGCCTGGTCATCCCTGCCAGGGACCCTCCCAGGGCAGCTCTCAGCCCTCTGGGATCTGGGTTCAAACTGGAGGGAAGTGTCAAAGTCACCCTGTAGCACAAGTGGGAGAAGCAGGGCCCGTTCTGCCAAGAGCTCTTCTGGTTAAAATAGCCCCAGCCTTGGGAAGGACTTGTCTGCTCTGTGCAGAGGCTTTATTTATCAGTTTCATTTATCAGCCTCACAGCTTCCCCAAGTGCTGCTGCTGTGGTGGAGGAGAAAGCCACGGGAAGGAAGTAGCAGCAGGAAAAGAAAAGAAAAAAAAACCAATTTTGCAGAGCTTTTCTTTGATTTCAAGTGGAACTGCAGCAGCATCTAAATATACTGAGCCTTTGTGAGTGCAGCTGTGCAGGGGCTGGGGGGCTGCTGGGCCCTCCTTCTGCTGCAGCACAGGGAGCCCTGAGCCCTGTGCAGGCAGAGAAGGGGAGCTGGGAGCCTGAGCCCCTGAATGCAGAAATGCACATTCCCTGGGGTGGGCAGGTGTTCCTCCTGCTGCACAGCACCCTTTCTTTTGGGTGCTTGGGTTGGGTTGGAGGGACCTTAAAGCTCACCCTGGTGTC